TTTATTTGCAGTAATTGCAATATTTGTCTCTATTTTTGGTTAAATATTATTATATATAGCTTCAAGTTAGGGTTTTTTGGTGATCAGAGCCAGTTTGACTTGGGGGAAATCTGGGTTTTGGGGAAAATTTGAGGTTGCTGTTTGAAGAAAGTGGGAAATTAGATGAATTTGTCGGGGAAAATCCTGGGTTTTGGGAAACATATGCTGAAAGATATTCAGGGTGGAACCATCCGATTGAGTGAAAGCTTTTTCATAGAACTCTAACATTTGCTGATTTTTGTTGGAAGTCGTTCTGGTTTGTTCTTGTGAAAAAAAGGGAAATGGAGTACCCCTTTTCATATAGAGAAAAGGGGAATTGTTATTGGGTTCCTCAGAAGGTAGAGGGCGGCGAACAACCGGGTGGCAATACCAGTAATTCACTTTCTGAGGATCCTTTTAACTTCTCAGAGCTCATGAACTTGGATAATGCCGGTTGCTGTAGTAGCTCTGGCGCTATGGATCAGATGTTTGCTTCATTTGGTTTCTGCTCCTTTCCGTCCATGCCGCTTGCGTCTTTTGATTCATTAAATGTTACAGGAAAAAGTTCTGGTACATTTGTTGAATCTTGTGATGCATTAAGTGGAATGGATAGTTCTTATTACAGTGCGAACAGAACAGTGTCCCGGCAAACAGATGCACACTTTGGTAATCTATTAGGTTTCACAGGTGTAGAACTTGGTGTTAAACAACATCATGATGGTAATAGGGCAATCTGATACTTCAGGTTCAGCCAATTTGTTAATTTCTAGGTCGATTGGAAAATCGCTGGATGAGAAGATGCTTAGAGCACTGTCCTTCTTTAGGGACTTAACTGGAGAGGGCATTTTGGCACAAGTTTGGGTTCCAATTAAGCTTGGAGATCAGTATATGCTGACCACCTCTGATCAGCCCTATTTATTAGACCAGATGCTTTTGGGCTATCGTGAAGTATCAAGGAGATTTATCTTCTCTGCAGAACAGAAACCGGGTTCCTTCCCGGGGCTTCCTGGTCGTGTTTTTATCTCTAGGGTTCCTGAGTGGACTTCCAATGTAATCCATTACAGTAAGGATGAGTATTTACGGATTACAGATGCCGTCAATCACAAAGTCCGTGGTTCTATTGCCTTCCCAGTTTTTGAGCCTTGCGAGATGTCTTGTTGTGCCGTTCTAGAACTTGTTACTATGAAAGAGAAAACCAATTTTGATTCAGAAATGGACCATGTCTGCCGTGCTCTCGAGGTTAGTATCTATTATTTCTGTTTCTGTGGTAGTTAAAGTTAGTGTTTTGGGATCTGAAATGAATGCATATCCTCTTCCTGTTCTGTAACACTCGAAACGTTTCAATGTCATTGGCCTAGCTACCTTATGAGCATATTTGAACTTAAAACTATTTGCAAGGGATGACATAAAGAAGAGTATAATCAAGGAGGTAAAAAAGAGTTAACACGAAGAATTTGGTAATTTTGACGTGCACTACAAAATTTTACCTTTTTATACAACTCCAAAATCATGTATGTTCACACTGAAATTAAGCAGAATATTTGGGTTAACAATGTTAAAATTGAAAAAGAAATTATTAGGTGCTATGATATTCTCCTATGCTGAATGTTTTGGTTATAAATGTTTTAACTATGAGATTCTCAACTGTATCTTAAAATTGTTATGGCTGTTATCATGAAATGTGTTTTGATCTCTATTATATGCAGGCTGTGAATTTAAGGACCGTTGCTCGTCCTCAATTTCTTCCACAGGTATGTTAAAATACTTGTATGCGTTTCATGTCAGTTGTTTCAGAACTATGGTTTTTTTTACGTATACGCATATGTATCTGTACATGTCCATGCATATGCTTACCAGCTGAACATGTTTGTGGTACTGTTGCTTTTCTCTAAGACCTACCCTTTCACTTTTCCCCAGTGCCTTTCAAGGAATCAGAGAGCTGCTTTAGCTGAAATAACCGATGTTTTGCGTGTGATATGTCATGTGCATCGCTTGCCTTTGGCTCTAACATGGATTCCTTGTAATTACACCGGGGAAGCTGAGGATGACTCTAACATGGATTCCTTGTAATTACACCGGGGAAGCTGAGGATGAATTCATAAAAATGCGTATTAGAGAGAGCAATAAGGGCTGGGAAGGGAAGTGTGTCTTATGCATCGAAGATACGGCTTGTTACGTTAATGACATAGAGATGCAAGATTTTGTGCATGCATGCATAGAACATTATCTCGAAGAAGGACAAGGTATTGCTGGAAAAGCACTTCAATCCGATCATCCGTTCTTCTCTACAGATGTGAAGACGTATGACGTAAGTGATTATCCACTCGTCCATCATGCACGTAAGTTTAACCTGAATGCTGCGGTTGCAATCCGGCTGAGGAGCACCTACACTGGTGACGATGATTATATATTAGAGCTTTTCCTTCCTATTAACATGAAAGGGAGCTCTGAACAGCAGCACTTGTTGAACAACCTCTCAGGCACCATGCAGCGAATCTGTAGGACCTTGAGAACAGTTTCAGATGCAGCAATTGTTGGCGAACGGTCAAAAGAAGAGTTTCAGAGGGTAACAGTCCCAACCTTCCCCTTAGTGTCTATCTCTCAGAGGAGCTTGGAAATGGCATTATCTGCTGATGGTGATATGAACTCCAGTCATAGCACTCCCTTGAATGAATCTAATTCTAGTGATGCAAAGGGAGCTGGCGGTCCTCCTGAAAAGGTATTTTGTTGAGCACTTTTCCCCCTTTTAATGAATACTTGAGCTCTAGAATTATCGAACACATAACTATAGATGTCCCGGAATTTGATTTCAGTGGTGCACTGAGACCAATTTTATGATTTATATTTATACACAACATATTTTATTTGTTTGGTATTTACTTTATGTTAAATAAGTTCTTGGTATCTATATTTATAGGCAATCAACGGACTGTTTAGGCAGAAGAGAAGTACAGCAGAAAAGAATGTGAGTTTTAGTGTTCTTCAGCAGTATTTCTCTGGGAGTCTGAAGGATGCTGCAAAAAGCATCGGTGGTAAGCTTCGATATAACAGTTCTATCTGCATTGAATGGTTGATCTACATTTCTATGAGATTGTGTATCCAACTTGATTCACTGAGATTGTTCTAAGTTCATAACATCCAAACTCTCTAGAAATTGTATGAAATGAGATTTTGACCATAGAATTTTTATGGAGTTTGAATTTTTCGAATCAAATGTATTCTTGGCTCAATCCAAGGGAATAATGTGATTTGAAACTGATTCTTACCGCAGATTTTTATCTGTGACTGACCTTTTAATTTCCTGCTGCTTGTAGTTTGCCCCACTACGTTGAAAAGGATATGCAGACAACACGGTATCTCAAGATGGCCATCTCGCAAGATTAATAAGGTGAATCGATCATTAAAAAAAATACAAACTGTTCTTGACTCTGTACAAGGTGTTGATGGAGGATTGAAGTTCGACCCTGCAACAGGAGAGTTTGTTGCAGCAGGTGCCATTATTCAAGAACATAATCCTGAAAAGACACTACTATGCTTCAACAAAAACCTTCCCATTGGATTATCAAAAGCTGTCAATCAAGAGAAACTATCAGCACCTCTTGCACCTTGTCTTGATGGACAGGACTTGGTGGTTAAGTTGGGTGAAAACGAGTGTTCCTTTGGTGGACACGACGGAGAGGCTGCTCGGAGTATGCTCATTCCAAGTATCTGTCAAGAAGTAAAGAAAACGAGTGGCCCTTTAATTGATTATAGCGAGGAATCTAAGTCAGTTGCTCTAGATGCAAGATCATTTCCGGCATCTAGCGTTGGCACTGTATCTTGGACTTGCCCTGAAAATGCAACCATGGGTTTGTGTTTCTTTCAAGGAGACAACAAGGGGAATCAGAAAGTAGAGATTCCTAACTGCCATATCATGTCTCGGAGCTCAAACACCTCGTCTGGTCCTGATGAGATGGATAGCCAAAAGCAAGGTGACGATGAGATTGTTGAATATAACGACCAACCTGCTTCTTCAAACATGACATACTCTTCGAATGGCTTTGGTTCAATGTTACATGGAAGTTCATCAGGCTCTATAAAATCTATGGAAGCAAAGAATTCTGAATTGAAGACAATTTGTATTGACAGCAGCTCGAAAATTACAGTAAAAGCTACATACAAAGAGGATACTGTTCGATTTAAGTTCTATCCATCTGCAGGGTGCTACCAACTATATGAACAAGTTGCAAAAAGGTTCAAAATTCAAAACGGGACATTCCGGCTCAACTATTTGGATGATGAAGAGGAATGGGTAATGTTAGTTAGTGACTCAGATTTACACGAATGCCTGGAAATGTTAGAGTATCTCGGATCACGAAGCGTCAAGTTTCAACTTCGAGATGTACCTTGTGCTATGGGCAGTTCTACCAGTAGCAGCTGTCTTTTGTCTCGAGGCTTGTAACAGATATGCCAATGTTCCTCGGTCGGCCTTCGCAGTAATTTCTCGAACTAAATTCAGGTTCTATAGAGGAAAAATGTCGAACGAAACATTATCAAGTTAAGTGGCTGCTCAGGTCGAAGCTTCTGTTTTTCGATCTTATACCATTGTTACTGCTTCAGTTCAAGGAAGAAGGGTGAAGATGTGAGCATAGATTATAGTTAGTTGTATAGGGCGGTATATGTTAGGAGGGAGCAATAGAAATACGATCCTAGTTATTGTCTATGTTAACATAGTTTTTATTTTAATGAAGTATCTGTATCCGATATTTGTGTCTAAGACATAAATACATAGTTCGATTACCGTAATATATAAAAATTCTTACATTTACGTCTTGACACAGTCATATTCGATATCTATCAACGTCGTAATTGATAAATATATAATGCCTTAAATACGACTATAATACAAAAAAATAATATAAACATAACATGTATAGTACCTGGCAACATAACTTTGAGGGTAACCAACTGTTTCTTCAAGCTGTAGAAACAAATCAAATGAATTGCAATGCTACACTTTCTCAATTATTTCCTTTAGTAACTCACTAACAATAGGTACATGTAGGGGAAAAAATCGAATGTTTCCGAATTCTGAATGAATATGAGGCAATATATAGTTCTCAAGTTTACAAAACTTCGATGAGTTATCGCACGTCGGTCTGATGGTAACCAGATTAGCAAGCAAAGATGATCGAACTTTACCACTTACAAGCAGTTACTTTTCTGCACAATGAATTGGTGAAGCCATATGATTGCTTTGGTCTTTGCTCCTTGTAAGCCAAGCCAAAACTCCAATAATTGAAGGTTGAAGTAGGAATTTGAATAGGTCGAGTTTAATAAATAAAAACTGATATAATACAAAATCTGTGCCGAATGCCGATATAATATTCCCAGCAAATAAAAGGGTGATAAAAATGTGCCCACATCAACTCATCCAACTTTGATGTCACTGCGGCCTGCAGCAAAAAAATGACAGTTTACATCTCAAGAAAAAGGTTTAGTTGACAAAATTGAAAAGTCAAAACATCAAAGTCATATACCAGAATAAGCATGAATAAGAAATATACCTCTTTGGAACAAAAGCCATAAACTCCTTGAGTGTTTCGATAAGATGATCTCCGACATCATCTTTGGATAATTTCTGCTTCTTTTCTGTGCAAATAGTGGAAACAAAGAAAATGCAATCATTATCACATAAGCAGAGGAATTAAGCAAATCCATTTGCTTTAATGTTCATTATCCACTCATCACCAGATAATCTAACACAATAGAACCTGGTTGCCTATGTAATTTACTACATTTTGCACTAAATGCATCCTACATTAGTCTCAAAGTTAATCATATCACAATCCTGCATCAATACTGTAAATTTTAACATAACATTTTATATCAATGCAGCTACAAGAGCCGCTCGTTAGCCATTATGATTGTGTCAGCAACAGTTTTAGGGGAAAATGGCTAATAAAATACACGGTTTATAAAGCTTCAGAGGGGACAGAGCAGAAGTTTGATACCTTGTGTATATTGTTGAGGTGAAAAGTCACCCCCGAGATATACGTTATCACTCCAATCTAAATCCATGTCCTGCTCCTTAGCAAACTTTTCCAGTAACCGACCAATTAGATTGTGGGCCACCAAACTTGCTTCATCACATGCTTCTTGGATTGCAAGATATCGATTTCTCCGAGTGCTTGTTTTGTTGTCAGCAAATGTTTCATTCCTCGATTGAAAGTTAGATGAAATGGTCGATGTGTTTTCTGGATCCACTTCAATGTTCTGTTCAACCTCAGCTCTCTCAACTGAAGGACAATTTCTGTTATTTGCTGCAAGCGGTTTGACCACATTCATTAGTTGGTTTATATCTTCACTACTTTTTTCATGACCTGAGGCAATTTCCGGCTCCATTTTCACATCCTGTATAACCTCATCTCTGTCGACTGAAGCAACAGAATAGGACATGCAACTCTCTAAGTCCTCATTCACTATTTTCCCATCATTGCCATAATTGCCAGTATCCTCAATACAACAATCATCATCACTTTCTTCTAATTCTTCCCCATATGCATCGGCAAATTCCTCATCTAACTCATGATCAGGAAGCAAGTCCCAAAAGACTTGTTTCATCTCAGCACTCACAGTGAGTATACATTCAACCTCTTCCTCGATTTCATCTTCTACGAATCGTCCTTGTGGCAAAGATCGGGAATCCTTGTTGATAACAGAAAGTGCTTCTAATAAAGACTTGGGAACCATATCCATATCACTGCACTCAAAGAGGAACTCTGTTAACATATTTGTAATTGCTCCTCTTAAAGAACGAGTCGCTATTTCAACATTTGGATCCAACAAAAGCTTTAAGGCTTTCAGCTCTGGGAATCTAGCCTTCGTTTTAAGAGTCCAAATAGCCCTCACAATATCATTCTGCAAGCTTACTATTTCTGGCGTGAATTGGTGAAAGCTTGTTGTGGAGGTATTTTGACAACCCATAGTTAGCTTTAGTGACAAGTCTGCTATCATCAATGCTTTAGCTAAGGGCTCTTGTAGTTTCCCAACGTCATCAAGATCCATAAGCATCTTCCTAGCCGTTTTATTCACTTTTTGAATTAGACGTTTACGTTTCTGACCACGTTCACAAGTCTTTAACTCGGGCATAGATTTGACACATCGAAGCTTCTTGTCCATTGCAACCAAGGTCTGCAAAGGCAAATCCTCTAGCCCATCCAGTACATGGATTGCAGCAGCATGAAGAAACTTAGATGTTAGAGTCATTGATTTCATAGTACTGCTTCGAAAATATCGAAGGTCATTGAGAATTTTAAATAGCTGCATAATATCGGTCTTCTTCTTGTGATCGTGATCTCCACTGCTCAGAAACCTTGGCAAACATTCTCTAATAACTTTTTTCATTTTGCATCGAGTTTTCTCAAACTTCCCTGAGCCACCTGAAAGTATCATAACAATTTGCTGAAGCCCATCATTAGTCAAAGCATCGAGACATGAGAAAAGGACTTCATTTATCGTTTGTGCATTAAATGATTCAGCGCTATCTTCAATTACATGATTTCCTGTTTTGAAATTGCTTACTCCGAAGGCATTTTCGACACGAGCTTTAATAGTTTCGTAGAACATCTGCCAAAATACATAATAGCACCAATATTTGTTGAAGGAAGAACACATATTTAAGGTGGCAAATTATAGAAAGTAAACAAGACGACATCCACCATTATCATACAATGTTGTATTAACTTACATCATCCTCCCTTAGAAAAGATTCAGGCAAAGTCCTGCAAGACGGAAACAAATGCAAACGAATTACAAATTAACCATTACAGTAAAGAAAAACAATAACAATACAACAAGTAAAGCTCCCCGCGTACTTGAACTTAAAAAACTTGGGCTCCTCGAATTGCTTCTTTTTCGATTTGGAAGTCGAAAGTCCCATCAACCACCTGCAAAAAAAAAACCCTCAATAAACAACCCTTTTCCAAGTTCCAACATAAACCACAATAAAGCATCAAAAGCTTTGTTTCTATAACAATACTAAATGCATTCCAATACCATCACTGCAAAACAAGCACCCGACTGACACAAATTTGCTTTCCTACTGAACGTTCTTACAAGAAACAACATTATTCCCTTTCTCACACACATAAAGAATGCAATGAGAAAAAAAAAAGATCTTTCACTTGATTCAAACAAAATAAATAAATAAATAAATAAAAAGACCATCAGTACAATTCATATTACAGATTACTAACTATTTTTCAGAATTTCGAAGAATTATACAAAAAAGCATATTTTTTAGTAGAAATCAAAGAGTAAGGGGTGTGAAAATTTAAGAAAATAGAAAAGGGGGGAGAACCTTCTTTTGAGATTAAGCAGCTTCTCTTGATGCTTGATTTGCGATAAGAGCTCGTTGCAATCTGTTCGATGAAACCTTTCCATTCTTACAGTAATCGTGAAGAAGAAGGAAAGGAGCAGATGGAGACAGAATTAGGGTTTAGTTGAACGGGGGAAGGGGTTATGAGGGGGGATGAAACTGAGTCATCGACTCTTATTTAGCTTTGACTCGGTTGAAGCCTAAAGCGGGTAGGATCTCGTTTGGCGGGTCGGTGTGCGGGTATTTATGTTATGGGTAAATACACCACATACCACTAGATTTTAGTATATTATCGTTTATACCACTTAACTTTCAATTGCTCTAATTATAACACTAGACTTTGGTTTTGACTTCAGTTATGTCACTGAGCCATTAAAATCCAAACGGTTGGATGACATGGACAAAATTAAATAATTTTGATGTGGTTATTGATACCTAAAATTACATTATTTTAGGTATTGAACTTTTAAGGTGTATCTATTTATCACTAGTTTTTTAAACAATTCACTTTTTCATATTACACTTTCCTATCACCATCGATAACCAATCGTCATTAGTCATCTTTCATGATAAGATCGTAATCAAAATTTGTTTGGGTATTCATATCTTCTTTTATTATTTCATATTTTTTCTCTAAATCCCTTTTAACTACTAAGGATTTTCAAGATTTATCTCATCACTATCTAGGGTATCTTGTTCTATTAAAAATTTTGTTGATAATTTTTTGTTTCTTAGTCCTAAGTTTAGATAATCACTGCTTGGGTTAAACTATTACTATCCATTTTCTTTATATTTGTCTCTCTAAGGATCTGTTTATGAAATGAAAGAACAAAATATTACTAAAAATCAAAATTTGTTGAAGTTGTCGTTATGGGTTAAGCCTAATTTTTATTGTTTGGAATTGCACTTTTGATTTTTGACGACATTAGAAGGATAAAGATCAAAATTTGACTCGATTTATCTTAAATTCTCTTATTTTTGAAATGTTTACAATGATTGGTTTTACATTTAAGAATTTCAGTTTATTTTTTCCCCATTTTAGAGTTATCTTTTAATTGTTATCTTTTGCACTTATGAATTTTGCTTTGGGTGTAACTATGTCCATTTTTTGTGGTCATGCTTTTAAAGTTCTTGGTTTCCTACTGATTATGGAAATGTTAGTTGTTGGATAAGGTTTTCAACCTATTTTAGCTTCAAATTGGGTGACATTAAGGTTTAAGGTTCAAGTTATGTGATGGTGGTTGTAAGTCACATTATGTTATTTTATATAGATCTATTTCAGTGATTTACTAGAAGATGTTTAAGTATATTGTATGATCCTGCTGAGATGAAAAAAAAATAGCTGACCCTATTCCCATATGTAATGGGGTAAGGGGGAGGTAGAGTAGTAGGCTGTCCCCAACGCCAGGTTGAGAGCAACTTCCGTGGAAAACCTCCGACAGTCAGAATTATGACTTGTTCTTTAATCTCTGAGTAATATTATTTTTTTTATTATGGACTTCTAGTAGGCTAATGGGGAGTTGGGTCCATTGGTTTGTGTAATCCCTTCAATGTCTTGAGTTGTGCCATGATATTTTTTTCTCAAATGTGTATAGATTTAATCTTATATATTTTCATTGTTGGTTGATTTTGAGTATATGACTATTTAGCCTTAGTTTCTGAATTTTGAGTATACATATGCATTTGCAGAAAAAGAAAGCTAATCTGGCTAACTTGTCTAAAATGATAGGGTTATCTCTATCTGTCAATGCTGTAATGCAAGCATATACTTTCTCAAGGGTGTTCATTGAGCTACCATGTTGTGTTTGCTGAGTCTTTTTAGGTTATAATGCAAGCATATACTTTCTCAAGGGTGTTCATTGAGCTACCATGTTGTGTTTGCTGAGTCTTTTTAGGTTATAATGCAAGCATATACTTTCTCGAGCTTGACATCATTCATTGGCGATCAAAACATATTTGAGCTTAAGCGGAGCTGAACACTAAGTTATGCTAATCTCAAGCGAAGCAAAATTCAAAGCTCGATACTATCAAACACTCTTAATGCTATAACTAGAGTAACTGAAAATTTAGTGATTTAAATGATACACCACTTAAAGTTCAGTGGTATATGGTGTAGTTTAACATAGTATTTTTTATTTTCAAGAGTAAGTACATAAGAGGTCACTAAATAATATTCAAATGGTCATTTTGGTCACTAAATTTTTAGAAATTACTAAATGACCACTAAATTAAACCCAGCTCATGATTCCGATAACCTAAATCCTGAAGTCTGACAAACAAGCATTACTCATAGGACAAGAGATAAGCAATAGAGGACTTCATGATCTACTCTTCTGTGGTTGAACCGATTCGATTTCTATGCAATGCTTGATCCTTCAAGCTTCATTACCGATCTTTTTTCCGACCGACAATAAAGATTCGGTCTCTATGAAACTCGGTTAGACTTGTGGGTTGATATCATACTGATTTTGAGCCCTGTCACTGTCATGAAGTGTTTGGGGCACATCAAACAACTCATGAGTATAAAGGCCATCATCGCAGCATAAATAGTCGAATTTGGACTAGTTCTGGATCATATCATGTTGCTCACCTTTTGATTTATAGGCAAGTTGAAGACCTCATCCTTTGCAACTGCAACAATATTGTGCCGGTTGCTTCTTTCGTCGGGATTTTCTAGTTCGATGTTAATCCGAATAGTTCGGAACGATCGATCAATCGAGTTGAATCCATCGTTCTCTGCAACTGCAACTTGGTTTATGTTGATTAGAATTAAGCTGATTTTGATCCCCCACATCAGGTACTTCCAAGACATTCACAAAATGAATCAAATGACACATTTTAAAGGTAACTAAATGAATCGAATGAGCTAAGCTTCGGGTTCGAAAAATTTCCGCTAAAATTGTCCTTACTCGTGGAATTGCGTAATCTGCCACATTGTTAGATGACTGCAGATCGGAGATCACTTCATTCCCATTGTTAGCAAAGATTTCATGGTTAACAAGAGGAAATGAAGTTATAAACTTGGTAGTTTGTTCACTAATGCTCGTTCGATTTTGAATCCACTTGAAGCCATTAGGCACTTCGGGCTCGACTTATGGCTCGTGATTGTTCACCATTATTAACATAAAATTGTTGTTGAGTATTCAGATTGTTCACCATTATTAACATGAATTTAAGTGTGGAAGGCAAGCGAAGAAAATCCCGACATGATATTGTTTTTAAAATACGAAGATCTTAAGGAAGACATCAGATCTCAGCTGAAACGCTTGGCTATGTTCTTAGGGGCTCCATTCACTGAGCATGAAGAGATGAAAGGAGCTGTAGAAGAAATAACCAAGATTTGTAGCTTTGAGAACTTGAAAGACCTGCAAGTGAACAAGAAGGGCTTACATGTTTCTGGGATCCCACACACAGAATTTTTCAGGAAAGGGAATGTGGGAGACTGGGGAAACTATCTCACACCTTCCATGGTTGGACGCTTGGGGAAGCTTATTCAAGAGAAATTGGATGACTCAGGTTTAACATTTAAACTCTCCTCCAAAACTTTAGAGGATAATATTGCTTCTCCCCGATCATCTGTCATTTTTTTAGCTTTGGTATTTGCATCTTAAGGGCCATCCACCTACTGTCTTTGTGACTAAAATCTCTGTTACTCCCATTTATCTGTTTATTTCCTTTTTGCATTTTGTTGTAATTTTCTTTGAGAGACATCTTGCTATTTGTACACAAATTTTATTATAATTTGTATTAATGGAACAAATATAATCATGTCGATCGATGATGATTCACATTTTAGATAGTGGAAAGAGAACTTCATGACATCGACACACAATCACTCTAAACAAAAAGTCATACCTAAGATTGAACAGAACAACAAAACACCAACTATTATCCATAATTGTTTTTTGATATAATGACAGTACCCTAAAATTTTATTAAGAAGACAGTCATTACAAGCTATAAATAATCAAGGGAATGCTTCCATTGGAGAGCATGTAGGAAAACATAATACATACAAAAAAGCTCCCACGCAGCATAGATATAGAAAAGGGTTTGCCTTCCACCATGCATTGAAGTTTTCTGCTCTGTCCACAGCTTGTTTTGCAGCAAATATTCGTCAAAGACCTCTCTCTTTTACCTTGTTTGCAAATCTTTGTCGAACTCTCTCGTAGATCTTAATGAACCACCATGGTCTTCCTGTAGATGCTTAATTTGTCTGGGCCTATATCATGGGCAAATGAAAGTAGTTTTTGGGAGTTGAAAACCAAAAAAACGTGGAGGGGAGGTCAGTTTTTTTTAACTACTGGAAACCATCAGAAATGGGAGAGTTCACGTAGACACAAAAGGGAAAAAAGAGAAGAAAGAGGGACAGAAAAAAAAAACAGGGGAAAACTAAGAAGCATTCCACAACAACAGAAAAAAAAAAACAGAAAGAAAGGAGGAAAACGACCAGAAACGAGGGGGAGAACAACAATTCAGGGATCATCAAGAACCATTTTCGAGCAGGAGAATCAGGAGAAGCCATTGACTAGCAAAAGAAAACACAAAAAAAAGAGAGACAGAGGGCTTTTTCGTTGTAACAGAGAGAAGCGGTGTCGATCTTTCATTTGAATTTACAGAGAAAAATCAATGTAAAAGAGGGAATAAGTGCAACTCTACCATTGTATAAAAACCGAGAAGCAGTGCAAAGGAAATCGAATTCTTGCAAAGGTTTTTTTCTCTCCATTTATCATTTGCAGTTTCATTTTTCTTCCTTCGTTTTAGTAATTTCCATATAAACACAAAACCAGAGATAAAGAAAAGGATTTGGGGTTGATTTACCTGGGTAGTGCGAACGTCGATAGAATCTCAACGGCTCCATCTTATTGTTGTATGGGGTCCAATCGCTGTTGAAAGTAAGGGCCTTGGGTGAAAAAAAGTGAGAGGGAAGAGGAACAGAGAATCATGGTTTGTGAGGGTTAGCTTAGGTGTTTCTTCTGTAGGAGTTAGCATAGGTTTAGAGTGAAAAGGCCATTGGAGATTGATGGCCAAGCTTCAGTCGATGGGTCTTGAAACGGGAGAGAGGGTCCTTGTTTTACAGTGGTCGGCATAGAGAGTTGTATAACTCTCTGTTTGAGAAGATGAAGGAAGAGACATTGAGAGTGAGAAAGAAGCGACTGAAGCTAGGGAAGGAGAAATGAGGTTAGGGTTTGATTTTTACTTAGGTATAACACTGCCAAAACGGCAGCGTTTTGGGTGGCCGGTTTGCATGGTATATCTATGATACAAGTCATTAGAGTTCTCGGGTTGATGCAATTTGGTCCCCAGATTAAATTTTCTTTCAGGCTTCTATTTGTTTCTTTATATTTCATGTGTCTTTCATTTTGGTCCTTGAACAAATCTTTTGCACATTCTTAATTTGGTCTTCATATTTATGAGTGCTTTTCATTTTAGTCCATTTTGTGTGTTTAATTGAATTTTGCAATGATTGTGATTCTGGCTCATTACTTTAAAAAGTTTCTATTTTGACCCCATTATTTATTCAAGTTAATATCTTGTTTTTTACGTTTGGTATGTAATTATGTAATATTTTATTTTCGTCCATAGATTTAATTTAGTCATAATTTAGATTTTTTTTTATTAATTTTAAATTTAAATTTATTTTAACATAGTCCACTCTTAGATTTGTTTTTAAATTAGTTGTTTATTCCTACTTCGCATGCTTAGTTTAATTTTATTTTATTATGGTCCTTCATGGTAATTTTGAATGTGAAATCGAGTTATTAATAGCATGTTTTATTGTATATATTGTATTATTCTAATGTATGTTAATGTCGTAAATACATATGATTTTTTTTTATATAGATTTAGAAGTTTATTTGAGTGCATGTCATATTTTAATTAGTTTTTGCATGACATTATTTTGCATAATATGCATGATATCCTCATGTGCATAACTGGACATTATTACATAATTTAACTAAGGGCAATATCCTTTTAATTTAAGATTGTTGAAGTGGGCAGTCATAACTGATTTGAGGTCCGCTTTTAATGATTTTAGATTAAAAGTGTATCCCGAAAGTGAAACAAAAAAAAATTGATTCGTCACCTAAAATTTGGGAACGAGAGAAAAAGAAATGTTTGTTTATTTAAATATATCGAGAAAAGGTTGTTATATTTAAGATCTGGTCTCGATATTTGTAATAATCGAACATTCTTTATCTTTCTAAAATGACTTGGTAATTTTAATTTAATTTGTTTGAGTGTTTTTGAATGTTTTAAATTTACATTTTTAATTTATGGGATCAAAAATTAAAATAAATTCGAATTTGTAAAGTTCATTGCAAAGACGTTAATTAATCGACTAGGTACCGATTTGGGGCGTTGTGGGGGTGCTAATCCTTCCCTACACGTAACCGACTCCCGAACTCGGATTTTGGTTAACGCAGACCTCAATTTGTTGTTTTAATTAAAATTAATTTTTATTTAAAATGACATCATTTTTGGGTGCCCAATCACACCCTAATCAAAGATTGGTGGCGACTCTTTGAATTGTATTTTTTCGATTGTAAAGGAAATCTAAAAATTTTCGAAACGAGAGGTCTTTTAAATCGCATTTGTTTTTAAATTAAAAAGAGATAATTAAGAATTAATGTGGTTTTTAAAATCTCACCGTTTTTCACCTTTTAAGAAAAAAATCGTTTCGACAGCTTGGCGACTCTGCTGGGGACCTTTTTTTAGAGAGTCAAGCCGATAGTCGATTAATTAATTGTCTTTGCAATTGAAAATTACAAATTCGTTTTAATTGATTTTGATCCCTGTTTGGTTTTAAATAAGTTTTGTTTGTATTTTGATTTCTTTAATTTAATTTGATTGACAATTAAATTGTTGTACTGATCTGTTTGTTAATGATTTCAGATTAATTGTGTGAAGTTAGGAATTGATTTTGAGTGTTTTTATTGTTTGTTTTTTCGCTTTTCCTCACACACTGCACAGCTGCATTGTCATAACATGAGCTAAAACCCTGCTCCGTCCTATTTAAGTAGGAGTGAGAGACTATGCCCTCGTGTGGTTTTCACCTCCGCATGGGATAGTGGATCGCTCCTGGAGCTCACGCCTTATGGTCCTCGTGATGGTAATCACCTCCGCATGGACATAAGGAGGTGTGTTCCCTCGAAATTGAACTCGATTCCCTAAAGCCTGTGATGGGCCAGGATTGAGGGTTCGACAGCCCAAGGGGGCACCGGCAAGGACAATTCGAGAACCTATTACTTTAGAACCTAACCCGGCATATAGTGAACATAGAGCCCGAACTTAGGTTGAACCAAACCCGAACCTTAAGAATCCCGTGAGGAGGGTACACAAGGAAAAGCTTTTTTGAGTCATTTATTTTCGTTTTTTCGAATAAATGCATGCGAACTAGATATCATGCGGTTAGGTTTGTTTTTGAATAAGCATGCGAATTAGATATCATGCGGTTAGGATTTCTTTTTGTGGATAACAAAGCATGGGGGTAGATATCATGTTGGGTAGGATCTGATAAAGCATGATTGGGTAGCCAGCATGTGGGTAGGATTCTTGAATAAATTATTGTCCCGACTTAATTGCTTTATGTTTACTAACCGATCTTTTGTTGTTTTTTGCCTTGTTTCTTTTCTGTTTTGCATTGCATTGTCCATTACATGGTGTTGATTTGGGGTCGATGTCCATATAGAAGGCCAGTAATATGGAACGAACGGTTCAGAAAGAGGTTGAGGACAATGCAGATGTTCTGATGTGGTCGGAACAGTCCCAATTGACCAATGGAGATAGCGTAATGCCTGGATACGTGTCGGAGTTATTTGGTTACACTCACATCAACGTACGTCAGAATGATCTGAGTGAGCTAAGAGAGATATGGGGAAGATGGGAAGCAGTCGATAAAGAGATGTTTTATCAGTTGTACGGTGATATTCCCTATCTTCTGGATGTTCCTATTGACCGAAATCTGTTTAGAGCATTGGCGCAGTTCTGGAATCCGGCTTATAGCTGTTTCACATTTGGTAGGGTGGATCTGACACCAACAATAGAGGAGTATCAAGCATTGGTCCGTTGTCCGAGGTCCCAAATGGATAGAATATATACCAAGCTGCCAGTCACTCCTTCATTTAAGAAGAAATTGCTATTGATGACCGGAATGAGTGAAGATTGGGTAGTCAGAAACATTAAGAAGAAAGGAGATAGCGAGTGCATTTCTTGGGCTGCTCTGAAAGAAGTAATTGCTCATCATCCTAATAAGAGAAAGAAGCTGGACTTGTTTGCTTTAGGGATTTATGGGCTCGTTATTTTTCCAAAAGTGCTAGGATATATAGACGTATCAGTTGTTGACCTGTTTGAAAGATTAGACAAGCACGTGGATCCTGTTCCAGCCATTCTAGCTGAGACGTTCCGGTCTTTGAGTTCTTGTAGGCGTGAGGGAGAAGGACGCTTTATAGGATGTGCGCCTTTGCTGCTAGTGTGGATTCTGAATCATTTCAAACATGTTGAAAGAGCACCAGGACGAGTATTTCTAGATGGTTTCTTACCTTTGAAGGACTTTCTTGCTAAAGAGTGGCCTGGGGGTTTTACTGAAGAAAAATGGATGGTCATCTTC